TATTTCAGGATACGCTTGCAGGGTAGTGCATTAAAAGAAAAAGATGCAGTACGCCGTCTTGGACGATCACGACTTTAATACACGACTTTGCCAACAGTACAAATCTCGCCACACGCCTTTTTTACGATTATAAAAGACGATGTAATCTTAGCAACTATATAGCAACGTAGAAATATAATTTGACAGACGATGCGAGCGTTCAGGATTGCTAACACTAATCACCTTTTCGGGCGATGAAAACGAGTAAAAAATTCGCATCCTTTGCACGGTACGCACCAGTAATACCTTGAACTTGAGCACACGCAAGGAATGCGCCAAAAAAGAAATCCGGGTGATGTTTGAGGACACAAATGCTAAGAAAGCACCACTGTAGTCGAAGTAAACAAACACGACGGCACGGGCGTTTCTGCTGTCTTGAGAGTGCCGCCACGAGATCGCCGCACAAGTAGATGGATCTTCCCTTCTAGTACGTGCTGGGTTATCCTAACGACACACGACGAAAATTCACAGTAAAGGATAGCCCTTTTACGGGGAACGATGACCCTTCACCACACCGTCCTGCCGACGATCACCACCGACGCCATGTTTGCAAATAGAAGGAGCCTGGAACGACCGGCATGCAACGCGCGCGACCGAGCTCCTTGACCTGTGATTGGTCTGTCGCTCCCGTCGTTCCCGAACGTAACGAAAAAGTTCAGCCCGGCTCAACTCCTTGCGTTGCGAACGAACACGAACGAAACGACCGTTTGGCGCTTCGTTGCTATGGTAACTTGTCGCTCCAACCGGTTGCATTCGTTCGTAAGCGTAGTGGTCGCTCCGAACGCAACTGTGTGAACGGGCCTTTAGGCTCGCCCCTCCCCTGTGCTCTCCCCTTTCTCAAATACTTCCGTCTGTCTCTGCTCAAATTCGCTATCCGGGTGTCCCAATTTCCAAAACGAATGAGGTAAAGTTTGCTTATATATATATATATATATAAAAGAAAACTCTAGAGCAAAAGGACAAAAAGCGACTGAGACACACGAAGCTCGAAACTCAACTTGAAGCCTACTGTCAAAATTAAAAAGAGACAATAAAAATAAAATGGTTACCAACGAAAAAAAAAAAAGGGTCGATATAAATTTAAAGAAAATTGCCGGCCTTGTTGGCGTTCCCTCAGAGCACCATTATGCTTAAAAATAAACAAAAACAAAAAAGCATGCGCTCAAAAAAAAAAAAAAAAAAAAACATTCACACAAACATGTGGAATGCGCTACATCAGTAGTCTAAAATATCAACGACATATGGGCGATCGTACGTATGTAGCATGATACGTGCAGAATCCCTGTGCAAGCTTCAACACGGGGCTTTTGCGGCAGGGGTTCTGCACGCGGGGCAATCGTGCTACACCCCTTTCCACACCGAGGGAAAATGAAACGGCGTCACTGTGCACGGTGTGAAGGAGCTCAACAATGACGGACGAAACACCGTCATTGTTCCGACCTGATACGGGCAGAAAGTTGTGCGAGAATAGTGAAGACGCGGCTTTTGGCACGTTTACGCTATGTAGGCAAATATGGCTGTGCGCGGGGTGAAGACACAGAACAATGACGGTCGAAGCGCGAAGGGAAATATGGGACGGGGCTTTTGGCACGTGGGGAATATTAAACGGGTCCACTGAGCGTGGGGCTTTTGAGACGTGGGGCTAATGACACGGGGCTTTTGCGACAGGGGTTCTGCACGCGGGGCAATCGTGCTACACCCGTGGAAAGCCACGTCTTCACTATCCTCGCACAACTTTCTGCCCGAATCAGGTCGGAACAATGACGGTGTTTCGTCCGTCATTAGAGAGTTTTAGGGAACCGTTTTTGCACATCCGATACGGTACGATGGGCCCTCCGGTACGAACTGCGCATGCGCCTGTCTTCTGCAATCTCACCGTAATGCGCTGTTGGAACCGTAAGGCACGACCGGCACGACCAATGGCCGACATGGACAGTCTCGCTTGGTTAGCAAAACGGCTATTTCGCTGGCGGAGAGAGCGTGCTGTGGCTCCAAACATGAATAAAATAACTCGTGGCAGTGCCTGGTAGGAGCGCCACGTGTGACAGCAAGTCCATAAAGTTTGAGTCAGCAAAAAAGAAAAAGAATAAAGAACAAAACGCAATAGGACTTTTTTGATAGAAATAAATTGGTGATTAGCGCAGCCAAAATGCGTCTGCTCGGTAGCTCAGTGGATTGGAGCACCGATTTCTTGATCTCGTAGAGGACCGGTAGTGGAGAGTTCGCATCCCGCTCGCCCAGGACAACTTTTTTTTTTTTTTTTTTTTTTTTTGCATATTATAAGTTTTTTTTTATATACAAACATTGGATGTGCATTTTGAGCACTTATCACCCGTTTTTTAGAGCTGCTGTTATGACAGGATTATCTGTAGTGGCACCAGAGTGCGCAACAGCCTTCTGCATCAAGGCTCTGGATACATTTTAGTTTAAAAGTGTTGCATGAATTAAACATTTCTGTACAAATGCTAATCACATATATCCTATAAAACGAGCCCTTTGAATATTGGGTGATAGTTTTAATAAGTGCACAGCAGTAAAGTTACAGGTTTTCCTTTATATTTTCTTCGTGGTCGTACCGTACACGGCGCAACGATCGGTACGCGGGCGTACGACCGTGATCGTCTGCTACATGTACCGTAAGAGAGCAACATGAGCGCCGCATCTACCTCCGTCCCTCCGCCTCCTCCTCGCAAGCGATTTAAAGTAGTAGACAACATCCTTCTACTTCAGGAGCTGCTAGGCGCTACTCCTTTTTCGCTCCAGCACTTTGGAATGACGCAGCGTTGAAAAAGAACTTATCGTTGCGAGGAGCGAAGGAACGGATTGACCTCCTCGTAAATAAAAATAGAGATTTAAGACGTACTGAAAGATACGTCATTTCAAAAATATACACACTGTATGGAAAGTAACGAATTCCCAGAGTCCCTTATGAATATAGAATCCACTGCGGTACTAAAAAGGAAATTAAGGAATTGGTGTCAAGCATTTGAGCTGTAGATATCGTAGCCTAACCGTTGGAGATATTTCGTACTTTTATTTCATGGTTGCGTGAGTAGACTTGGCTATAAACACCTATATTTCATGCTTTAAAGTGTTCCTTTTTGTATTCATTTGTGCTGCTAATTTTGTGTTCCTTTCATTTTTTTTTTTGTGCTGCGGAGTGTTTTTTTTTTTTTTTTTTTTTTGTAACAACATGTATTGTAGTTGGTCGCCTGGCCCCACATAAAACGGAATGCTGCTTTTGTGGGCCAGCTCTTTATTTTGTATGACTTGATCTTAAAATAAAAATTGAATTAAATTGAAAATTGAATTGAAAATTGAATTGAATTAGCTTTGTACAAGAAAAATGACCGCATCAACTTAAGAAAGTGAGTTTATTTTGGTTATTTTTGTATTTTCTTCGAGATTTAATATTTTTAGTTTTATTTGTCCATAGCTTTCTTAATACTCCATCCTGCATTGGGCCTCGAGGGAAAAAGACAGGATCGCTAGCAGACGACTTCAAATGCTGATGATAAGCGCGCGCGAGCGTGTTCTTGTGCCAAATCGAGTTTGCTTTCGGCAACGTTTCAGCATATCAGGAGGTGGTTGGTGTAAACATCATATTTGTTGATGTAAAACACCGAAGTTTGCCCGCTGAGAACGCATGATCTATTTGAAAACAAGTTACCATGTACGGTCGAGGCATTATTTTATTCCCCAAGTATATAAATCTGGTGAACTGAAAGAAAAAAAAACCCAAAATACGCTGGCACATCATTCGTGGTATCCGCACATCATTCCTGGTATCACAACTTTTTTGTTTACTCAAAAGCTACGCCAAGTTGAACGTCCTATGCCTTGCCGCCAACAAGCGCCTTCTCTGAGTGTATCGGTGCTCGGTGGCACCCGAAAGAAATGCGACTGACTCCGTGTCACGGCACACCAAAAAGGATGTTTATTCCCTCGTGCCCCTGCACAAGTCACGGGCCCCACGGCACGCGCGTGCGTGCCTCGCTTATAGAAAGCGGGAAGTTCAAAAGAGACTCACGTACGTCACACTTAGTGCGCAGACAGTCGTACAAAATCACTTTTTCTAAATTGCTTTCGCTGAATAGAGCCAACTCTAAGTCATGGTCAAAAAGATCGAGCGCCATTGTTGTCGGAAAGCTCGTCTGCTTCTTTAGCAGACGAACATTTTAGAACTTCGCCGTGCTAGGGGCGACACGCCGTGGTGCGCCAGTTTTTGTATTACGGAAGCGCATTCATTCCAGTAAAAAAACGCGACGAACTATAAGTAGGTATACTATTTTTTTGGTTCTCTATATATTTAGGGTGCGATCTTTATTTACTTAAGTTTCTGCGATTTGTACAAACAAACGCAAATTTGTCTTTTCTCGATGAGGCGGGTGCAGGTTTCCGTTGCCAGGGGGCGCGACCTGTACCGATCGTCTGCTATCGTCTGCAAATACGGTTCCCCCAAAGCCGTTTCAGGGCACACGATCGGTCCACACGCCCGATCCAAGGTATCGATCGTTTTTGTTTATCGATCGTATTTTGTTCCGGTTCCCTAAAACTCTCTATTGTTGCGCGTCTTCACACCGTCCACAGTGACCCCGTTTCACTTTCCCTCGGTGTGGAAAGCCTCGCCTTCACTGTTTCCGTTCCCTCTGTGCTACGACTGCCGTTGTTCCGATCCTTGACCTCGACTCTTCCGAGGCTACAGCAGAGGGTGCATGAAGTGAAAGGAACAGAAAGGAACAATAAGATTAGGATAACAGACCAGGAAAACCCCTGGGGGAATGACGAAGTAGACAATTCCAGGAGTTTGCAGTTCTTTCGAGGCTGATGGTATTTAAGGCCACATTGGCCAGCAGTGGACTCACTTGCCAAGATGGAAGTGGTTAAGACGCATAAGGGAAAGCACTGTTTTCAACGTCGTAACAAGAATGGGACTGTTGTCTGGCGCTGTGACAGGTATCGTGCCATGAATTGCGGATTGACAGTGCTGACCGAAGAAGGACGCGTGCTTCAGAATCCAGGTAAGCTTTTGCTCACTTCACCGTGTGCTTTTCGATAATAGCCGCGTAGTGTGACGTTGTAACCAGTGCGCATGATGATATTTTATGTCTCTTTTAATTTGAAGGGGAGCACACATATGCACCTAACGACGTGAGTGTTAACAGCTCACGTCTGAAGTGTACCTTGAAGGAAAGGGCCATCGCTGAACCCGACGCTGCTTCCCCAGAGATGTATTCCCAGCATATGAGGAGCTTGGTGGGAAAGGCAAGTGATATCGATCTAAGAATCATACAGCGAAAGAGTGTTCATAGTGAAGTGTAATATTTCTGAACCTATCTTTTCTCTCTCTCTGTTTTTTATTAGGTCGAGGAAGACGTCTTAGCTCAGCTTCCGACCTTTGAGAGTGTGCGCCGTACGATCTACCGAGCTAAAAGACAGAACCAACCTACACTGCCCAAGACTACAGCTGACGTAAATTTAGCTGGAACATACACTGAAACCTTGGACGGAAGAAAGTTTCTTCTTTTTGACCTGTCAACCAGTGCTGGTCACATCATCTGTTTTAGCACAAGCGACGCACTCACAGAGTTTTCTGAGGCGAGCGAGGTTTTTGTCGATGGAACCTTCTTCGCGTGTCCATCTTTGTTTTATCAGTTGTTGACCATAAGCGTCGTGAAAGGGCGGTGTAGCTTTAATGTCGCTTATTTTTTGCTACCGGCAAATCCCGCGACGTTTATGTACAGGCCTTCGAACATTTTAGGACAGCTCGAACTGACCTTAGCCTTTCCGTTTCGTTCGACCTTGTCCGAACGGACTTCGAACTGGCGCTGATTCAGGCCATCCTCTTCCTTTTTCCTGGCGCCCGTCACCGAGGCAGCCACTTCCACTTTTCCCAGGCAATCTGGCTGAAAGTTCAGGAGCTTGGACTCTCGAAGGCCTATCGCTTGGACACCTGCGTGGCCGCTTCGTGACAAAGGTGATCAGTCTCGCTTTTGTCTTCAGGAACTTCGTGCGAGTTGCTTGGGGCAACCTGAAACTTACGGCACCTACGGACGCGCAAATTCCACTTTTGATTCTTTATTTCGAGGACATTTGGATGATGGGTAACTTCGACATTCAGCAATGGAACCAGCATCAGAACCGTGGTGCCCGTGCAAACAACCTGAAGGAGGTCTGGCACAAGTGAGCCCCCAGTATTTTTTCTAAACCCAATTTTATTGCTGCCTGTATAAATATAACCGAAGAAATCATTTAATAATTGCAGGAAAATAAACAACATGGTTGGAAAAGCTCATCCAAACCTGTTCGCCTTCGTGGATCTTCTAAAAAAGGAGTACGCCACGAGTCGCGTATCCCTGCTGCAGCTGTCCAATGGCGGACAAGCTCTTAAGCGGCTAAAGAAGTGGAACAAGAAGGACGACGCCATCAAGGAGCTGGAGGACGACTTGCGGGACGGCGCCCTAAACTTGAACGAGTTTCTTCAGAAGATCCAACGCTACTGCGGCATTTAAGCGTACCAACTCTGTTGCTATGCAAATGTTGTAAATATGTTTTGTGAATAAATAAGTTTCATGAAAGGCTAAGAGCCATTTTGAAGCGCTATTAGATATATGATTAAGCAAAGTGCATCAAGGGGCCGGTCAGGGATCCGGCTACGTTTACGCTATATAGGCCAGTATAGAACTACGTTACAAAGACTGGTAAAAAGAGTTGAAAAACTTCGAGGGCAAGAGAAAACACGGGAACAACCTGGGATGTTGAATACACGGGGCTGTTATCACGGGGGAATTGAGTCATGGGCTTCTGAAACAGGGGCTTTTGCAAACGGGGCAGAAAGAACGGGGCGCTTGCCGCGGGGCTAATGACACGGGGCTTTTGACATCGTGGGCTTTCGTGCACCACCCGTTCCAATGACGGCATGATTACGTTACTCACGCTCGCGTGCCCACTTATTGTCGCTTAATTAGAAGCAAAGTGCTCCGCCGTCATGGTGAGGACCCGGCCACCTTATCTGAGGATTCGCGTCATTCGCTCCTGATGAAACTGGCCATTTTAAGGCGGGGCAAAAGGACGGTGTGTCAGTCGTGGTCATTTCACACGGAGCTTTTGTCATCGGGTGCTTTCTTGCACCATCCGATCGTACATAGATCATCAACATTCTGTAAAGCGGTCTCCTTCATGGAACTTCGAAGTCCACTGTAATAAGTGTTCGTGTGATCCTTTGCTGGATAAAACACAGATTCCGGGGAAGTAGGAATCCAAAAAAGCGGCAGAAAGTGTAAATGAGTATGACGGTTGCATGAGTGCGTCGTCACTCGTTTCATCAAATAAGGAATTCAGGTTCATTTGGGGTGAGGTATAATAAAGTGTGTATATATGTTCGTTTTCTTTTTTTCAAAATGAAATTCAGTTGTTTGTAGCGCTCCGAGTGTGCACGCCTACTTCTTTGTGCTCATTTCTTTTGCGCCTTTAAGTATAAGATTTTGCACCTAACTCACTACTGGTTAGACCCGAAATCGAAACCAACATTGTCGTCTGCTATCAGTGCCTTGACGCCATGTTGGAGGCATTCTGCGTCTTATTGTGGCAGCGGTAGTGCCGTAGTCAGAGAGCCGTCTTTTTATAATCAGATTTCAGAATATATTTTTCCCTAGTCAATTGCAAAGAGGTTTCTCACCTGACACGAAATGTTGTCCATAAACCCGTAGTTGGGGTACGAAGCTTGTCTAACATAATAATCTAGAGCGAAAGTTCCATGCATTTGGCCACGACGGAATGGCGAGGCATAGACCCGTGGACATAACGGCGGCCCTAGTTGGCGGTCCCGATGAACCCATTTTGGTTCAGGCGCCTTAATATGCACAAAGAAACAGCAAAACATATATAATTTCTGTACCACGCTATTTTATTTTTTACTTTGCAGAAATACACCTGAATCGCGCGTTGACAAAATTAAACAAAGTTTACAAGCGCTCGAGCAACTTCAACTTCTGGAGGCAAAGCTAACACGCCTAAACCAGCCTATTTAAGCATGCTTCCAGTAATAAGCTAAAGGTATTTCCAGACTAAAGCGTGTTTCACATGCAGCGGTTTTGGCCCTAGAACGGCGCGATTTCTGCCGTCCCGGCGCTTTGGCCAGGGGGGCTATGTTGCGCTTTTTGGACTCCCAGGAGACTTGGAAGAGGGAAGTGACGTCAACGACTAGAGCAAACGTAGATTGGATGTTGACAGAAGAAAACGAAATCAACACCCAATCTGCGTTTGCTGTGTCGTTGACGTCACTTCCCTCTCCCTAGTCGCCTGGGAGTCCAAAAAGCGCAACATAGCACCCCAGCACCAGCGGTTGAGCGGCACGAGCGCCGCGACGGCAGAAGTCGCGCCGCTCTAGGCCGAAATTGCTGCATGTGAAACATGCTTACCACTGACCATTATATGCCACTGCGTTCTTGCAATGTCGATGAGTAGATTCTGCATAACTGGCATTACCTTTATGTGCGCGTTTAGCGTGACATAAGAACATTGAAAAAGCCGGTTCAAGACTTCGATCCACGAAGTTCCTTCGGCGTGGTGCAAGGGTACTCCGGCAAGTTTTATGCTATCAGCTCCACTCAATATCGGTGACCTAAATTTTGGTCCCAAATCGTCGCTTCGCCTGTTATGGCTTATCTGTCGACACCTTTGTATGGTAAGGGGTACCAGTCCTCCTAAAAATGGTGCAATGTCCATCGTGCCCGCACTTTATCCCAGCCTGTCTTTAGCCAAAAAAATAGGTAAGCTTTTGTCGGTGAGCTTTTGTCCGGCTACTTAGTGAGCTCGTGCACAAATAGAAACTCAGTGCAACGTCAATTGCTTTCTCATAGAAACACGGTTAATTAATCTTAATTCTTTTTTTCTACTCGCCTTGCAATTTTTTTACATCTCTTTTAAGCATCTCTGATTGTTCTTCCCCACCATGGCAATCCCGTCGCTTTTGCTTTCTAACATACTGCCCCCGACTACGTAATCTTTCAGGATTTTCTTGATATAATTCATACCTGCTCATAAATCCTACGAAGGACGGTCTGCAGACAGGTTCGAACGCGAGTCACCGCGAGGTCCGTTCTTCGAATGCTGCAGGGCAATGAGTTCAAGAAGAAACATGGCACGCGGCATTCGAAACACGGTTCTCGCGGTGACTTGATCGTGTCTGTCAGACTGTCTTTTGTATGAGGTGTAAGCGGTGTGATCCGGGTTTCAATTTAGAATTCTGTCGGGCCTTTGGATCAAAAAGGAGCAAATCCTATTCCGTAGTTCTCCTCGTTTGTATTGTATCCAAACGTTTGCTTAGTAGACTTTTTCTTTGCAAATTACCTAGATCGGTAGCACATAGGATTCGGAGTGCACAGAATGTGTAATATGTGCGATAGGCTTAGTTTCCCTCGTAGGAATATTTTTTTTTTTTTTTTGGACCCCCTCAGACATTACACATCAAGTATACTCCGAATATATCCTTGGGATCATGGTAAGTTTATTTTTCTTCTGTTGGCTGGGGTGCAGAAAAAACTGAGGTTCTGCCTCTTGCCTTTCACTGTGAGGGCTCATAAAGTCGGAAGTAGTAGTACGCGACGAAATGAAGCTCCTGACCTCGCCGCGTGAAGACACTGCGCCACTCAGCCTAGAGGGGAGCCAAGAGGCTTCTGTGCAAACAGGGCTTGTGCCCGTGCCCTTTTGGGCAAGCACATAGAAGACAAAGATGTTGAGACAATTTAGGAGCCCCGTGTATTATAGCGAAAGCTAGAGCACGAGTTCATAGCACTGCGAGAGGATCTGGATGCACGAGAGCTCATGCAGCGGGATTACGTTGTTTCGCTTTTCCAGACTTCACTCTGCTGTGGCAATCGCTCGCTCAAAATGTGTTAAAAAAAGAAAGGTTTTTAGGCCGCGGTGAAAGAAACACATTTTTCCTCCACCGTGCTCCACGCCAGACTCGTCAAACCAAACAGATCTCCAAACAGAAAGGAGCGAAACCAGGGCGCGCCATCTATCGGTTTTCTTTCCAACGAATTCCCGCGTCGACGAAGGAGCCACGCGTCCACTGATCGCTCTAATCCCCACCCCCGTTATCGGCCCTTACGCTTCCCTTAGCCTTGCCGCCGTGCCCGGCCTTCCCCCCTCTTTCGGCCTCGACACCCCTCCCGGCCCTTTCGCAGCGGTCGGCCTAGCCCCCGCACTCGGCAGTTCCGGCTCGCTCGGCCCTAATCCACGCTCGGCCCTTCCGCGAGGGTCGGCCCAGGGGGGATGCTGCCAGGCCGGGTACGGCGGCAAGGCTTAGGGAAGCGTAAGGGCCGATAACGGGGGTGGGGATTAGAGCGATCAGTGCACGCGTGGCTCCTTCGTCGACGCGAGAATTCGTTGGAAAGAAAACCGATAGATGGCGCGCCCTGGTTTCGCTCCTTTCTGTTTGGAGGTCTGTTTGGTTTGACGAGTCTGGCGTGGAGCACGGTGGAGGAAAAATGTGTTTCTTCCACCGCGGCCTAAAAACCTTTCTTTTTTTGACACATATTTTGAGCGAGCGAGCGAGCGATTGTCACAGCAGAGTGAAGTCTGGAAAAGCGAGACAACGTAATCCCGCTGAATGAGCTCTCGTGCATCCAGATCCTCTTGCAGTGCTATGAACTCGTGCTCTAGCTTTCGCTATAATACACGGGGCTCCTAAATTGTCCCAACATCTTTGTCTTCTATGTGCTTGCCCAAAAGGGCAGGGGCACAAGCCCTGTTTGCATAGAAGCCTCTTGGCTCCCCTCTAGGCTGACTGGCGCAGTTTCTTCACGCGGCGAGGTCAGGAGCTTCATTTCGTCGCGTACTACAACTTCCGAGTTTATGAGCCCTCACAGTGAAAGGCAAGAGGCAGAACCTCAGTTTTTTCTGCACCCCAGCCAACAGAAG